AGCTTTGAAGTTTAAAGTGAAACATGAACTCCAGAGCAACAGAATTACTCTCTCATTTCTGTGCAATCACAATGATTGCAATGCATGTGCAGTTTTAGAGATGCTGCAGAGAATTTTTTCAGTCTAATGCAGCTTAAAATGTGCACTTATGTGTTAAAGAGATGCTTTTATCCAAAGGGATATATATATTGGTAATAGAACCTACAACCTTCCCACAATCAGACTGTTTAATTGTGGGTTCAAATCCCTTTTTGGGACTATGCAAGACGTTCTAGTTGTTCAAGAACATGCTGTTAAAAAGGTCATGGGTTTGATCCCCATAGTGGTTTTGTAATATATATCAAATCATTGTTTTAACTCAAAGGTAGTGCATGCTTAAGGTTGTAGGTTCTGTTCTCATTTTGGTCTCTTTTTACTATGATAGACATTCCTGTTGCTCAAAACCAGAACATGCTGTTAAAAAGTTCATGGGTTTGATTGACATTATGGTTTTGTTATATCCCACAAACCATTTCTTTATCTCAAAAGTAGTGTAAGCTGAAGGTTGCAAGTTCTATTCTCATTTTGGTCTCTTTTTACTACGGTAGACATTCAGCTCAAAACCAGAACATGCTGCTAAAAAAGGTCATGGGTTTGATTCCCATTGTGGTTTTGTTATACATTACCAACCATTGCTTTTGCTCAAAGGTAGTGCATGCTGAAGGTTGTAGGTTCTATTCTTATTTTGGTCTCTTTTTACTATGATGGGTATTCCTGTAGCTCAAATACAAAACATGCTGTTTAAAAGGTCATGGATTTGATTGCCATTATGGTTTTGTTATATCTCACCAACCATTTCTTTATCTCAAAGGTAGTACATGCTGAAGGTTGCAGGTTCTATTTTCATTTTGATCTCTTTTTACTACGATAGACATTCATGTAGATTAAAAGCAGAATATGCTGTAAAAGGTCATGGGTTTGATTGCCATTGTGGTCTTGTTATATCCCACCAACTATTGCTTTATCTCAAAGGTAGTGCGTACTGAAGGTTGAGGGTTCTATTCTCATTTTTCTACAATGGACATTTCTGTAGCTCAAAAGCAGAACATGCTGTTAAAATGTCATGGGTTTGATTGCCATTATGGTTTTGTTATATCCCACCAACCATTGCTTTAGCTCAAAGGTTATGCATGCTAAAGGTTGTTGGTTCTATTCTCATTTGACTACAATGGACATTCCTGTAGCTCAAAAGCAGAACATGCTGTTAAAAAGGTCATGGGTTTGATTGTTATTAGTTTTTTTTCTATTCCACCAACCATTTCTTTATCTCAAAGGTAGTGCCTTCTAAAGGTTGTAGGTTCTATTCTTATTTTGGTCTCTTTTTACTACGGTAGATATTACCATTGCTTAAAACCAAAACATGGTGTCAAAAGGTCATGGGTTTAATTGCGATTATGGTTTTGTTATATCCCACCAACCATTGCTTTAGCACAAAATGTAGTGCATGCTGAAGGCTTTAGGTTCTATTCTCATTTTACTACAATGGACATTCCTGTAGCTCAAAAGCAAAACATGCTGTTTAAAAGGTCATGAGTTTGATTGGCTTTATGGTTTTGTTATATCCCACCAACCATTTCTTTATCTCAAAGGTACTGCATGCTGAAGGTTGTAGGTTCTACTCTCATTTTGGTCTCTTTTTAATACAACAGACAGTCCTGTAGTTTAAAAGCAGAACGTGCTGTTAAAAGGTCATGGGTTTGATTGCGATTGCCGTTTTGTTATACATTACCAATCATTGCTTTATCTCAAAGGTAGTGCATGCTAAAGGTTGTAGGTTCTATTCTCTTCACTACAATGTACATTCCCGTAGCTCAAAAGTAGAAGATGTTGTGATGAAGTTCATAAGTTTGAATCCCATTTTGGTCTTGTTCTATATCTCAGCATCCGTTCCTTTACCTAAAAGATAGCACATGATGCTAAGAAGGTTGTAGGTTCTGTACTCATTTTTGTCTCTTTTAAATAGATCAGATGTTCCTGTTGCTCATTTGTAGAGCATGCTGTTAAGACGTCCATGGGTTTGAATCCCATTTTAGTCTCGTTTCATTATATCAAATGTAGTGTATGTTATGAAGGTTGTAGGTTCTATTCTCATTTTGGTCTCTTTGTATGACAACAGACATTGCTGTAACTCAAAAGTAAAACATGCTGTTATGAAGTTCACGGTTGTTATGAAGTTTAAGTCGCATTTTGGTCTCGTTCTTTTTCATTCAACAGCAGATTCTTTAGCTCAAAAATAGTGTATGCTATTAGGTGGTTTATAGGTTCCATACTCATTTTGTCTCTTTTAATTACAACAGAAATTCCTGTTGCTCTTATGTAGAGCATGATGTTAAAAAGTTCATGGGTTTGAATCCCATTTTAGACTCATTCCATCAGCTTAAACGTATGCTGTTAGAAAGGTTGTAGGTTCTATTCTTCTCATTTTAGTCTCTTTTAATAACAACAACAAACATTCCTGTAGGTTATTTGTAGAGCACACTGTTAAGATGTTCATGGGTTTGAAACCCATTTTGGCCTCATTCTATCACTGCCGTTATACCTTTAGTTCAAAGGTAGTATACACTATTGGGAATGTTGTGGGTTTGATTCCCATTTTGGTTTCTTTCCAGCATGACAGACATTCCTGTAAATAAAGTGCAAGCTATAAGAAAGATTGTGAGTTTATTTTTTGTCTCTTTCAATCAAATTTACATGCCATCAAAAGACATGTAATAATGTACAAGTTTAGTTAAACTGGCTTCTTACTTTTTTTTTTTGGTCACCATTTACTTTCTCGGCTCATAAAAATGCAGCTTGTGCATTACAAACTGTACTTTTACTGTCCTCTACAGAAAAAAAGAAAAGCAATCAACTTTAGATTAAGCACAAAGCATGTGAATGATAAAATAATAGTAATTTGTGCTGACTTTGCATTTGTTACTTTTCCGTGGTTGAACAAGGAACTGCAATGTCCCTGCCTCTAGTGCATAAAGCTTTTGAGAAGATAAACAATATTTCATCCCCTGTATGATGAGGTTATGCTTTCACAGACTGCCAAAACTCCACAAAGGGTGGAAGGATGGACCAAAAAGTGTCAATAATAGACCTCATTCAGACTGTCCTGTGAAATGCTCTGTTGTGGGACTCGGACAGAAACTGATGACCTCCAGCTGTGCTCTTATTACACTATCACGGATATGTCAAATGTCTTTGATTGTTTAAAGCAGCATAATTTGACTTTATAACAATACACCTCTGGTTTTAATCGCAATTACAGCGTGAAGTTCCAGTCAGTCACATGAAGTAAACACATTTGGTGGGAGGGGACCCACTTAGATGCGAGTTGCATGAAAATGGCTATCAGACTGAACGCACAATTATTCATTTCCTCTCTATGGTAGATTACATGCTACTTAGACTACCTGCTTTCATAAAGACGTTGTGCAACACACTGCGAGACACAAACACATTGGGAAAACAGCACTTACCTGAGCAAAATAAAGGTTGAGCAGACACAGGGTGAAGAACTGCAGGCAGACTGGGAAACAATACAGCAGCCAGAACGGCAGAGGCTGGAGCTGGTTTGCTTGAACAACATTTTTAAAGTAAAAAGAGAAGAGCGTCGTCCTCAGAGCAGACCAGAGCAAACACAGAAAGAGAAAAACACTCTGGTAGCTGAAGCGTTTGTGTCCGTAGTGCAGAATCAACCAGAGCTGCAGGTAAACAAACACGAAGAGGAGCGAATACAAAACCGTGTAGAGAACAGTGAGACCGAGCTGCACGGACGGGGGAACCGCAGCCTGGATCAGTTCGGCGGAGGATGATGAGGATGAGTCCGTCCAAACACTGACACTGACCTGGTTTTCTAGTAAAAACAACATATCGACACGATGGCTCGCTATCACGCCGACTTATCCAAAACGAGTTGTCCAAAACTTTTCATGGAGATGTTTTGAAATGATACAAACACTGAAAAACGTCAAACTTAATTACAAATGACACATGAGCGGAAAATAATAAAACTACAGCCTACCCTAAGTTATTATCGTATTGAACAGACTTTAAAACAATTCTCAGATGTTTGTAACCAAAAATTGGGAAAACAAGTAATTAAAAAACAGCAGAGCCCCCAATCTCTGCAAGGCAGCTCCCTCCGACCTAAGAAAAACCAACTCTGGAGCTTGGAAAAAAAAGCGATCAGCTGGCTAGCGTTGCAGATTTGGCCCCTCCTACTGACCAATAGGAGCGAGCTAGAATTTGACGCGCCTGTTTCGCCATGTTGGCTCTCAGCTGAATAGCGCTGAATGGAAAAATTCTGTCGCATTCGAGCCAAAATGATAGGCTTTTCAAGTACGTTCGCTGACGACCGAGCTACTCCCCTCCTACTTTTTTGACAAACCAATCATTTGTCTTTTTAGGTGTCCTGCCTCTGTGCGTTTTTAATTTTCAAACAATCAGCATTGTTGTTTTCAATACCGCTTATTTGCTTAGACGTTTGCGCTTGTTTGTTTTTCATGTAAGCTATACAGTAGTTTGGTTTGTCAATTAAATAGCGGTGTGAAAAATAATATATTTTTTAATAAAGTGACGCGGGTATAATATTGATACATGTAATAAATTATTGAAGGATATTTATGCAAGGCATAAAGACTAATAAATAAAAGGAAAAAATCACAAAAATATGCAAGGCAGGTCCCACAGAGTAAAGAAAAACAACTGTGTAAAAAGAAAATCAAATGTTGGGCTAATAAGAAGAACGTGGAAACTGACGCGCTTTAGTAGTCATGTTGGCTCTCAGTTAAAATTGTGGCGAATCCCAATAAAAACAGATATTGTGAGCCAAAATGACCGCCGTTTCAAAAGGCTGCTACCGATGAGCCAAGATCCTTCCGCCTACTTTATTCTTATTGGTTCTAACTTTTCACTTTGAGCTTTCTGGTTGGTATTCAGGACACGGTTAATCCCTCCTCTCATATTTGATTGGACGACGTTTGCGCATGTTGTTTTAGTGTTTGAGGATGTAGTAGAACTCGTTACATTTACAACACTGATCTGAAATCATTATTAACCTAATGTATTTGCTAAAAGGCTGCATTTTTTGTTTGTATTTTAAGTTTTGGAAGATGTGGGGATGCGTTCGGTAACAGAACAAGCGAACGGTTTTGATGGGATATGAACGTCTTATTTTTGCACATCCTAATTATGAACTAATATAAATAGATGTAAAGTACATACAGTGTAAATGTTGCACCATGTGCACCGTATATTTGGTCACGTTTGTGTTCATCCTAACAGCAGAACAATGTTTCTCAAAACTGATGGAAGACTCCGGCCAGAACCTCATGGAGAGGATGCAAACTGGGAAAACATCCTTTATATACTTTGGAAATCATGGTGAGACTCTGTTAAATGATTACAGAACAGTTATTATAATTTGCAGGTCTAAGCAAGAGTCATTAATCACATCAGCACAGAACAGTATTTGCTGAGTCAGTAGATTTGAGGTGTCAAAATCTTTTAAAGTTAATTTTTAAAGTCTATTACATAACATCTGTATCTGCTTGCAGTCAATCCAACCATAGAACTGTTCATAGAGCAGCTCCAGATGTCAGCTGATGCTCTAGAGGACTATGGGATAGCTGTTGTAATGGTGAGCAGAAAATATGTGCATAGGAATATATTTTTTGTAGTTTTTATTATGTTATTTTGCTACATAATGGCTGACCCAGCTGCAATAACTTCAATGCAACCTAAAGGGGTGGTTCACCCAAAAACTGAAAATTCTGTCATCATTTACTTTCCATTTGCTTGTTCCAAACTTGTTTGAGTTTTTTTTTCTATTAAACACAAAAGAGGATAGTTTGAAGAAAGCTGAAAGCCTGTAGCCATTGACTTACATAATGTATATTTTTGCCTACTAAGGAAGGTTACAGGTTTTTAGCTTTCTTCAAAATATCTTTTTTATTGTTCAACAGAAAACAGAATCTCATAATGGTTTATAACCCCTCGAGGGTGGGTAAATTTACATTTTTGGGAATTTACATTTTAAATTCTATTTTTTTGTTAAAAAAAAAAAAACATACAGTCCGTATTCATAACGCTTCACTTTTTCCACATTTTTTAATGTTACTGCCTCATTCCAAATTTGATTAAATTTAATTCCCCAAAATTCTACACACAATACCCCGTAATAACAATGTGAAAAATATTTTTTTGAATTTGTTGCAAATTTATTAGAAATAAAAAAAACTGGAAAATCACATGTACATAAGGATTCACAGCCTTTGCTCAATACTTTGTTGATGCACCTTTGGCAGCAATTACAGCCTCAAGTCTTTTTGAATATGATGCCACAAGCTTGGTACACCTGTTTTTGGGAATTTTTGCCCATTCCTCTTTGTAGTACCTCTCAAGCTCTATCAGGTTGGATGGGAAGTGACGGTGTACAGCCATTTTCAGATCTCTCCAGAGATGTTCAATAGGATTTAGGTTTGGGCTCTGGCTTGGCCACTTAAGGACATTCACCAAGTTGTTGTGAAGCCACACCATTGATATTTTGACGGTGTGCTTTGGGTCCTGCTGGAAGATGAACCGTCGACCCAATCTGTGGTCAAGAGCACTCTGAAGAAGGTTTTCATTCAGGATGTCTCTGTACATTGCTGCATTCATTTTTTCCTCTATCTTGACTAGTCTTCCAGTTCCTGCTGCTGAAAAACATCCCCACAGCATGATGCTGCCACCACCATGCTTCACTGTAGGAATGGTATTAGCCTGGTGATGAGTTGTGCCTGGTTTTCTCCAAACGTAACGCCTGGCATTCACTCCAAAGAGTTCAATTTTAGTCTCATCAGACCAGAGAATTTTGATTCTTATTGTCTGAGAGTCCTTCAGATGCCTTTTGGCAAATTCCAGGCGGGGAGTGGCTTCTGTCTGGCCACTCTAGCATACAGGCCTGATTGGTGGATTGCTGCACAGATGGTTGTCTTTAGGTTCTCCTCTGTCCACAGAAGAACGCTGTCCAATTAACTGAATTTACCGCAGGTGAACTCCAATGAAGCTGCTAAAACATCTCAAGAATGATCAGTGGACACAGAATGTACCTGAGCTCAATTTAGAGCTTCACGGCAAAGGCTGTTAATACTTATTATTATTATTTTTTTTTAGATAAATTTGCAACAAATTCAAAAAATCTTTTTTCCCGCATTGTCATTATGGGGTATTGTGTGTAAAATTATGAGGAAATAAACTAATTTAATCCAATTTACAATAAGACTGTAACATAAAAAATGTGGAAAATTTAAAGCGCTATGAATACTTTCTAGATGCACTGTATATTTTTCTACCCTTTTAAACAAGTTACTTTTCTTACAGGTGAACTGTTCAAAGGATGATATAGCAAAATACTGCACAGGAGAAAAACTACTGACTAAGGCATATTTGTTCAGGTATAAATTTGTCTTATAATGGGAAAAATCTTGTCTTGTTATATATAATCTGTCAAAAGTCATGTCACCTAAGTTTTAGGAATAACAAATAATAACTGGACTTCTAGTTGATCATTTGTTAATCAGTCTTGTCACTTAGCAGAAATAATGTACAGTAAAGAATATAAAGTCATGGTGCAGTGGAAAAAGAATTAATATTGTGTATGACTCCCATTAGTTTGGACGACTGCATCCATACATCTCTGCAATGACTCAAATCACTTATTAATAAAGTCATCTGGAATGGCAAAGAAAGCGTTCATGCAGGACTCCCAGAGTTTATCAAGATTCTTTGGATTCATCTTCAATGCCTCCTCCTTCATCTTACCCCAGACATGCTTAATGTTCAGGTCTGGCCAATCATTTATGGAGCACCTTGACCTTCTTTGCTTTCAGGAACTTTGATGTAGCGGCTGACGTAAGGGGAGTGCTATCCTGCTGAAGAATTTACCCTCTACTGTGGTTTGTAATGTAATGGGCAGCACAAATGTTTTGATACCTCAGGCTGTTGATGTTGCCATCCACTCTGCAGATCTCATGCACGCCCCCTTACTGAATGCAACCCCAAACCATGATTTTTCTTTACCAAACCTGACTAATTTCTGTGAGAATCTTGGGTCCATGCAGGTTCCAGTAGGTCTTCTGCTGTATTTGTGATGATTGGGATGCAACTCAGAAGATGATTTATCTGAAAAATCTCTTCTGCCACTTTTCCAAATGATCATCTAGAAGTCAAGTTATTATTTGTTGCTCTTACAACTGGGATTAAAAACAAGACTTTTGTCAGAGTATATATTCAGTACTCTTTAAAAGTGAATTAACAAGAGTATGGAGTACTTCTTTTAAGCAACCTGACAGCAGAGACTTCAATACCAAATTGTTTATGCTCACAGCTCAAAAAAAAATGTCACGAAATAGCCCATAAAATGGCTCATATGACTCCATACAAGTGTGAAATGACATAAACACAAATGTTGTTTTGTTTCTCATAATTCCAGAGGCTCTGAGGTCCTGAGGAGTTTTGACATTGATACCGTATTTGACGTCAATGCCATAGTTTCTCACGTCCTGTTGTGAGTTCTTCATATATATCACTTTTACTGTAGTGCCAGTGTTTCGAAATCTCCATATTCTGCCTGATGGATCTGCAGTGATGATTGATGAATGTGTGTTTTTGTCCTTCCTCCAGCTCTGTCCTCTTCAATGAGGTGCTTTATGTACACACTCCAGCTGAGCTGCTGGGTGTGGAAAGTGCGGCCAAACAGAACAGTGACATTGTGGTCGGTCACATACCCGTGCTTGGCCTTCCAGGTACAATCTCTATGTATTCATCTTCTGGAGTCCTTTTTCTGTTTGTTTGTTTGGATAGAAGCTACAGTTGAAGTCAAAATGATTAGCCGTCCTGTCAATTATTTTGTCTCTTTCAAATATTTCCCAAGTGATGTTTAAAAGAGCAAGGAAATTTTCACAGTATGTCTGATAATATTTTTTCTTCTGGAGAAAGTCTTATTTGTTTTTATTTTGGCTAGATTAAAAGCAGTTTTTATAAAAAAAAAAACCTTTTTAGGGTCAATATTATTAGCTCCCTTAAGTAATATATTTTTTCCGATTGTCTACAACACAAACCGATGTTATACGATGAATTGCCTAATTATTTTAGTTAAGCCTGTAAATTACACTTCATAGAAATGTACATTAGATGTCGCCTACGCTATTGGGCTGTTTCTCAATTCCAAGAATGCAAAGAAAGGCCTTGCGTTCTTGTGGAGACCGGTCTTGCCAGGTGTCCTCGGAAGAACAAACTCGGGAGACCACGAGAACAGAGGACACGTCCTGTGAGAAATGAGATGCTGCGATCTTCCTGATGGTCACATGACCTTCACACGTGTTTAACCAAAAATTATTTAAACATTACAGCATTTATTAATTTTGTCTTTTGTCTCTAGACATTACAGATATGTGTTGCATAATACAAATAAAACAGATTTTAATTAGAATTTCAACAAATAAACACCCTTAATGTGTTTATGCCTTTATTAAGATTTTCATGTTATTGATTACTTTCACCGTCTCATTCAGGGAAACTCATGAGACAAATAATTAATGTCTCTGAACCTTAATAATAAACGCTGCGCTTTCCACCTCCTGTCGCAATGACTTCTAGGATTTCTCGAGCGAATTCGGTGCTCAAATCTGGATCAGTGCGTCCTTGATACCAAGAACACGTGCAGAAAGTTTCACGCGTCCCCCGTTCTTGCGGTCTTGAGTTTTGGAGCTGAACTTTGGCAGTTGATGATGACGTTAAATGAGGACAAAAGAACGCTGAAGAATGCATATTGAGCCATGTTGTCTATTGAAAGAAATGCGTCAATAAAGCCGCCGTTTTAGCACTCCTTTGAATTGAATGTGGGACCAAGGTGCAGTGAAGGACTGGCCATCCAGAGCCAGAGATATATACACATTAAAATTATAATTTTACATCACTTTCTATATCGATGGATCAGTTACCTCACAGGCATCGCTGACAAAGAGCATGTGTTTGTGTGCATGGAAATGTATTATCCTACCTACCTGTTAAATCTAATCCGCTTCCTGAAACACACCCCCTATCCCGCATTCACTTCCTATTCTAACAAAGGGAATGATTAGTTTGTGATGAATCTTTGTTATAAACGACTCGTTTAGTTATACGACAATACTACAAGTTTCTGTCATCTTGTTGTCATATTTAATTTACATTGTTTACTGATTTTATCCAACCAAACTAGCATAAGCCTATTATTTAAGTTGGTACTACTTTCCTTATGATCAGTGCAGTAAGTGTCTGTGTTATCATCAATACTTGTTTAGCACAAAAGTTTGTAACAAAAACGTAAAAAACTAAATCTTACCCATGAAATGTTCTACCTTTGTCCTTTGTTTTCTTTGTTTGCTCATTACTGCATCTTTACACAGTGCTGAAGTCCAGCATCTTTACATAGGCTTTAGTCTTGACTGAATGACATTTGTTCTGGGAGCACTGTATAAATGTGGTGGCACTATTGACGCATGCTCAGGGTCCGTATGCGATATCTAGTATATCTATAATTACACTTAAGCTGAATACTAGTATCTTGAAAAATATCTAGTCATATATTATTTACTGTCATCATGGCAAAGATAAACAAATAAGTAATTAGAAATGAGTTATTAAAACTATTATAGAAACTACTATTTAGAAATGGTTGAAAAAAAAATCTTTCCATTAAACAGAAATCGGGGAAAAAATATACAGGGGGCTAATAATTCTGACTTTAACTCTATATTTAATTTTTTTGTCTGAACAGAGCACAGAGCTTTGATGGAAACAGCATTTGTGTATGGAACCAAATACCAGTTTGTTCAGACGACTGGCTCTCTGGTACTGAAACGCATGGGGTGAGTTTTGCATTACTCCAAAGATGAATGTACTTTCAAAATCTCTTAATGCACTCGTGTAAAATAAATTGAAATGTGATGTATGAGATACATAGACTGTAAAAGATATGGATGTAGTATCCGTGACGTCACCCATAGGTTTCTGAAGAGCACAAAAAAAGCAACAAGTAGCCGTGGCCAAGTGGTGCCTTTTTGTTGCGCGTCATCACTCCAACCTGGGATAACCAAATAAGGACAGAGAGGCGGAGCTACAGACGCTTGGTAGCATTCTGCTTAGATGAGTTTTCTTTGGGAGAAACGCTTAATACTTCATTACCTGCGACTCGTTTTTGTTCTGACCACATGTGCTTGGTTGAACATTATACCAATAAAGTGTTTAGTCTTTTAAAAACACTGCTGTAACACATTGAGCCACCAAGCATTGTTCTTATGACGTTTTTCTACTGGAGGAAAATACGAATTACTTCCAAATACTTAAAACATAGTCTGTGTTAGTAAATGCAGGGCTATTGATGAGGCATAACACTGTATGACAACGCTTTAGATGTTCTAGAGCCTACAGCTAATCAGTATTTCAGAATCTGGAGTACGTTACAGGTCTAAAGAAAATTATAAATGATAAAGTATCTTAAATAAAATGAATACATTTATAAAGATGGTATAGAAGTATTTAATTTCACTCAACTGGGAAATGTAGGCGACATGAATTTTTTGTTTATTTTGTTTATTTTGCACAAAATAATAACTGATTATTTAATAACTGATACTTGTAATAAACTGATAATTGTAAGAAATTATTCTAAAGGGCAACTAACTGTAAAGCCACATCAAACCAGCAAAAATACAATGTATTTGCCGAGATCAGCAGCTATTCAGCCAGAATCAGTTGAGGTGAAGTGACGGTGACCAGTGAGACCTAGCTGTCACTCAAGTGGCCACGCCCTTAACTATGCAGAGTTAATATAACCTAATATAAACTAAACGGATGAGTTATTGAAAAAATCACCTTCAATTCAATTCAATTCAGCTTTATTTGTATAGCGCTTTTACAATGTAGATTGTGTCAAAGCAGCTTCACATAAATGGTCACAGTAACTGGAACAGTGTGGTTCAGGTTTTAGTGTTTAAGTTCAGTTCAGTTCAGTTTAGCTCAGTTCAGTGTGATTTAATCATTACTGAGAGTTCAAACACTGAAGAGCCAATTCATCGATGCGTAGCTCTACCAATCCTGAACCATGCGAGGCAGTGGCGACAGCGGAGAGGGGAAAAAAAACTTCACCTGATGGGAGTGAAGAAAAAAAAAAAAACCTTGAGGGAACCAGACTCAGTTGGGTACGACCATTTTAATTTCTCCGCTGGCCAAAAGTCTTGTGCAGAGCTTCATTCGCCGTGGTCCTTCCTCACAGTTGTCATGAAGTGTAATTTTAGCTTAATGAACCAAAATCTTTCTTTGCACCAGGCTGTAAACACCTTTTCTTCTGCTGTAAAGTTGCCCATTTTAACAGTGGGCTCAATAGAAATCTGCTCTAGGAGCCAGGACTAGCAGAATTTCAATTAATTGCCTTTTCAGTTACTTCTGTATTTGCTTCATAAGGAAGAGCAGGAGGTAGCCGCTTGATGAGATATTATGTTGCCATAGATGGGTTTTGAATCCAAACAATTCCTTCATGTTGTCCTTAACTTAATTGTTTTTACAAATTTAGGTGGCTTGAAAATATAGCAATTCCAAATCATGCCTCCAAGTGATGGAATATTCAAAAAAAATAAACATCCTCTGATTGATAATATTTTAACCAAAGTTCACCATCCACAAAATCATACCATATTGTTCCAGGACATGTTGGGCTTTCAGGAAATGAGCGAGCTGATTCAGCTGCTAAGCATGCTTTGATGCAAGTGGTGAACAAGTGCTAAATTCCTCCTTCAGAGATGAGACCTTTTATCAATGTTTTCCTTTTAAATAAGTGGCAAGAGGAGTGGGATGCATTGGAAATTAATAGTGTATGAAATACAACCTGAAATCTCAAACAGAATTTTAAGACTAGATTTGATCAAGTGATTTTTACTAGATGTTGTAATTGACATACAAGAATAACTCATGTTTTTTTTGTTTTTTTTTTTTTGCTCAAAAGTGAAGACCCTACTCATTGTTTGCACTGCACAATTTCTCTCACAGTAAAACCCATTTTACGAGACTGTCCTGCTTTTAAATATTTCAGAAGACTTTTTTTTTATGAAATCAACTCTCTTAAGGACACCAGGGAACTCTCCTAAAGTGACACCAGGAACAATTAATATTTTTTTTAGCATGCTTTAACACTAAAAATCTTGTTTAATTTGTGTATTTATTTGTTTGTTAATTTTTTAATGGTCTTTTTATTGTTGAAATTTTCTTGCCATGAAAGGGGTCTTGGTTACACATGGCATTAAATAAAAAATAAATCACATCACATAGAGCAATTAGGTTGTCTACAAAAAGCTCAAGAATTGTGTTCATTTTCAGCTCATTTTAAATCACCGAATGTTTTCAAATTATGATTTTACAGGCATTACATTTCCTGTCATCTGTGTTATAGTAGAATGAGTAGATGTCAATGTTTTCCATTGCATTCATTCATTCATTCATTCATTCATTCATTCATTCATTCATTCATCTTTATTTCTACAGCGCTTTTGAAATGTAGATTATGTCAAAGCAGCTTGACATAGAAGATTATAGTAATTTGAAACCATGTCAGTACAGTTTTCAGAGTTCAGTTTAGTTCAGTGTGGTTTAATTTTAACTGCTGAAAGCCCAAACACTAAAGTGTAAGTACATCAATGCACAGCTCCACAAGTCTCAACCAAGCAAGCCAGTGGCGGGGAACAAACTTCACCAATTGACAAAAGTTAAGGAAAAAAAAAACTCAAGAGAAACCAGGCTCAGTTGGTCACAACCATTTCTCCTGTTCAAAACTTTTTGTGCAGAGTTGCAGTCTAGACGCCAGAGGCTGGAGGCATGTTTTAAACTCATATATACTCATTAGTGAGATTTCAATCTTAATTTAAACACAGAACTAGAAATGGTCTCAGATATCTGGTCGCCCTAAAGCTGCTTTTGAAGAGAAAAGTTCTGCAAAAAAGATTTAAATATTAAATCAAGTTTTTTTTTGTCTTCCAGATTTGGGTTAGGCACAAATATTAAGCTCAATATTGTAATCACGATGATTTAAATCTGTGGGCCGTGTGACCAAAACGTCAAATCATTGTGCATGCATGTATAATAAAGCTACACTAGGGCTGGGTGATTGGCAAAAATACAATCTTGATTAATTATTTTCCATATTGAACAATAACGATATATATTTCAATATCAGTTGTTAGTACTTCCAGTTTTAAAAGAGTATCCTAACAATGACTGAAGCTACAGATGAGAGGGTCCATTAAATAACTTGACCTATTTTTGATGGCCGACATCGAAAATTCAGAGTGTCTCTAATATCAACACACTTCTAGATTCTCATTTGTGTACATTTCTGCTGTGTGATTGTGTTACAGCCACAGCCATGACATAAATGTGGGAAAACACAAATGGATCGGTCTAGGGGATTTATTAAAATAAATAAAAAATAAAAAATCAAAGTATGGGGATAATCACAACAAAACAAAGGCTGAGCACAAAAGGAGCACAACTCCACGGCTGGACGGCCGCTCAAGTCTTTTGACACTAGTAATCTACTCAATCAAAGTAAAAACCACAACAAAACTCTAGAGGGCGACGAAATAGCACAATTAAATTAATAAATATATGAACGTAACAGATTGGCTCTTAGATCAATATAGAGTAAAAAAGTGCAGAGCTTATCATTGTTATCGACATAAATTGTTTATCACGATTCGATATAACATCCTTTATCAGCACAGCCCTAAGCTACATGAAAATGAACAATCAAGGATTTTCACTGCAGCAGCCACAATGGTATTATGCAATGCCTGAAAATAGTCCCCAGCAAGTTAACGTCCAATGTGACCATCACTAGGTTTGTGTAGTTGCAGTGTTGTTAACTGGCTGGATTTACCTGTGTAGACATGGTTTTGTGCATTTCAAAGGGCTTCGTTACCTGATTTTGCGCAATATCATCGCTCCTTCTGCAGCCATAATACTGCAGCAAAGTTTCTTGTTTATTACGCCGAAATGAGAGCATAGTTTCTATCCATATTGGCATAGAAAATACATAGCAACTTTTTATTTTCCTTTGGTCATAGTACATGATGAAACTACAGAAGAGTCAAGCTTTAAATGGGAAAGTTATCGAAACTCTTTGGTCATTTTTGAGAGAGATGCTAATGATCTAATACAATTCAATGATCTATGCTAGGTGTCACCCTGCCAATCCTACATCACCCAACCCACTCAGAGCTGGGATCCAACCAGCGACTTTCCCCATGGGAGTCGGTTGCTCTACCAAGGAGGCTAAAGACCTTGGCCTCTAGCGTCTGTTGCTAGAGCACCTTTAGAGGTCAGAGGAGTGAGGTTTACCTGCACAGCACTGACTAGCTGGCCTCCGTTACACAGGCTATGCTAAAAGTGCCCCCGCCAAACATAGATATTGGTTAAATGGATTCAAAAATGGTAAAACTCAACTATCTAACTCTAAGGGGTTGTAAGATGAGCTTATTAATAAAAAAAAGTTTAGTGATCATTTAAAAACAGAAGTACCTTGCCATTTCTTTAATATTTTGTCTTCATTTTCCTCTCCTTCTTCAGTGTCTCTCTGATATTTTGTTTTTGTTTCACAGGGTTGTCAACCCGTCGTCCTCACAAGCTCGACTGTGGTTTCTGCACTGTAAAAGTGTATCCCTGCAGTCTGATCCGTGTCCCAGCACTGCCATGAGCAAACCAATCAACACCATCAACATACACACATTCCTCCAGCTGATGGAAGCTCCTCTAGTGGTGAGTTATGATGGTAAAAGAGTTATGCTTAAGTTTCATGTGCATAATATTTTCTTTGGATGTAATTGTGGGCTTGTTTTCTGTTAGACCGAGGCAGTAACAGACCCATCTGAGGTCGATGTGGTTCATATCCACCTCAGTGTGCCGGTGCTGTATCTGTTCTCTCAGCCACAAACACAGCACCTGGATCGGGACACTGCTCAGACTGTCGCCCTGCAGCTCCGCGGGGAAGTCGGTGTAGTGCTCATTCACAGGTACTGATAAAACAATATGCAGCCATGCATATAATAAGACTGCAAGGGAAAGAGTGGAAAGGTCGTCTTTGCATATACAGTTGAAGTCAAAATTATTCGCCCTCCTGTGCATTTTTTTTTCTTTCGTTTTCAAATAATTCCCAAATGATGTTTAATAGAGCAAGGCATTTTCCACAGTGTGTCCTGTAATATTTTATTCTTATGGAGAAAATCCTATTTGTTTTATTTCGGCTAGAATAATAACAGTTTTAAAGGGTCACAAAACACATTGTTTGAGACGTTGACAGTCATATATATGTCCCCCTTTGCTAAAAACACTATAAGGACACATATATTTCACTAAAAAGTGAAAATGTATTGTTTTTGCATTGTGTAGAGCAAATTTGTTCTTCTGGTTTAAAATTTTTTTGAAGCTGTGTCACGGGGATGAGATCATTGTGTAATTTCCACCTTGGAGATTGGCTGTCTGTACTGGTCGGTACAAAGTGACGTCAATGTGTTTTCAGCTCATCTGTTCATTAATTCATGAGAAAAAATTGGGCCCGATCCCAATTCTATTTTTGTACGCCTACCCCTTCCGCTTGGCCCTTAAAACCAAGTGTGAAGGGGAAGGGCTTCAAAATTTACCCCTAAGAAATGGGACAGCACTGCAGCACCTGCACATGCATCATATGTCATCGTGATCTCTTGCTTCATATGAGATCAGACGATCGCGACAGCTGTAGCGAGTTATTTTTCTTTAGGAAATCACTGAAGGCAATGATATCATGTTATCATTACGATTTAATGTGGCAATAAGATTGTAACTGTATTGAGCATTTACACAGTCATCTGTGAAAACACACCAAAAAAAACAACATTAATGTTATAGCAGGCACTGTAAAAAGCCCATTCCGAGCCACTAGACATTACTGACAGGGTATTCGAGTGTCATTGAGTATCAGAGTATTGTGGGACTGCTATACAGGAGTTATTTATTATGGATTATAGATTTAACGTTTTTTATTTTAACATTTTTTTAAATGCATGGTGAAACACGAACGCAATAATTAATGTTTTAAAACATGTGCTTGTTTGTTGTAAAAATTCGTAATAATGACAAAAAATACTATTTGTGGATCTCCTTACTTCTGGGTGCAGCTATCCTGTCGTTGTAGCTGGTGTATTCTGGGAAATTTTCTTTCCCCTTGGTTTTGAGTGTGGTCCTGAAAAATCTCTCTTTCGAGGGCTATCTACTGCTCCCCCTTAGCCCTACACCTTCAAGATAAAGAGAATTGGAGCACCACTATCCCTTCATGGGAAAGGGGAAAGGCTAAGGGGTAGAATTGGGATTGGGCCTTAGTTTGAACCAATCAGCGCGCTCTATTGTGAACGAGATGGAACTTCATTAATATGCATGATACAGCTTCGAAGACTCCTTTTACCTATTACAGTGTTCAGAGAGACGCAACGTTGTTGCCAATCGTAATTCAAACCAGTAGTAATAGAAAAATTGTTCAGAGACATGGGTCGTCAGTGTTGCGTTTTGGAAACGCTGGAGAGGCCGTTTTCATTCTAAAACGTTGCTATTCCATCTTAGTGTGGATAGGGGAAAAAGGAGACATCTAAAAACGGAAGCGGGGCTGCTGACATTTGCCTGATTAGGGGTTTTCCTCAATATTAAGTAGCCTAACGTTACACACAGTTCAGTCCTGCATCCTCTTGTAAGTTTAGACTTCGCAAGTTTGATCAAGGCTGCAGTCTCTCCCTGCTCAGTTTGATATGGAAAACAGACTACCACCGTGGTGACTGAAGCTCTGCACAAGACTTTTGGCCAGCGGAGAAATTAAAATGGTCGTGCCCAACTGAGTCTGGTTCTCTCTAGGTTTTTTTTCTTCACTCCCATCAGTTGAAGTTTTTTTTCCCTCTCCGCTGTCGCCACTGGCTCGCATGGTTCAGGATTGGTAGAGCTACACATCGATGAATTTGCTCTTCAGTGTTTGAACTCTCAGTAATGATTAAATCACACTGAACTGAGCTAAACTGAACTGAACTGAACTTAAACACTAAAAACTGAACTACACTGTTCCAGTTACTATGACCATTTATGTGAAGCTGCTTTGACACATTCTACATTGTAAAAGCGCTATACAAATAAAGCTGAATTGAATTGAATTGAATTGAACTACCGAGGACACGGGTAAATCTTCAAAGGGAACAGTGTACTTTATGACTTCATTCACATCACCCTGGCTACATTGTTTCAATTTCTCAACAATAAAATGAAAACATGATTTAAGGAACTGCCTATTTTCATTTTGATATTAGCAACTTAACAGACAGCAGAAATGTTGAGGCGTTGTGCTGCATTTATGAGCGTCATCTTCACTGTGTTGATATTTATAACAAAACGGAGCCTATAACATTACTGCCTCCTTTCTATTCCAGTAAAAATACGAAACACCCTCTCTTTTGCTGAATATTAGTTTTAATAATCAATAATGGCCATTATAGAAGTATAACATACAATAAGTGTATACATTATAGGAAATAAAGGCAAGCGATCAGTCAATATACAGAATGTAGGCTATGTGGTTAGATTAATTATTATCCTATCTTTGCACTCAGCCAAAACACGTTACCTGAGAACAAGAAATGAATTCCAATGACCAAAGTCGGGGAATATGTCGTTAGATATAGACAACAAGATGAATGAAATATCACGTTTAATAAACCCTGCATATGTGTTTGAGTTGCTGCTGTGAAAATCAGCATGTGGACATAATGAAAACTCCCTTTTTCATGCAAACCCTTCCCTCTTTCGCCACTCGACACTCCCACTCAAACAAAGCTAGACTCACCCACTTTAGTGACTTTTTCAAATTAGAGGTGTTGAAAACACCCTGCTGAGACTGGGGTGTTTCGTAGCCCATAATTTTTTAATTACCATTTTAAGGTCAATATTATTACCCCACTTAAGCAACATTTTTTTTCAACCAATTTTATTTTTTCAAACTATCGTCATGTTTAGAAATGCGTTGAAAAAAATCCCTCTGTTAAACAGAAATTGGGGAAAAATATATAGAGGGGCTAAACAACACAGAAGGGCTAATAATTCAGACTTCAACTGTACATTAAAAAGTATGTTAAAAAGAGTGTTTGTCATCTTTTGTTTTATTTTGCTCTTTTTTCCTAAATGACTGCATTACTATTTTAAGTTGGGAAGAAATTATCTTTCAGAAAATTATTCTATTTTTCTGTGCTGATAAAAAAATTATGACATCTATTTTGACTCTGGTGTTGGATTTTAGTGGTTCTGCATTCATTTCCTCCATCCTATGTTTCCTCATGACTTTAATTTGACTCAACACCTTCCTTTTTTTAAATGTCGCTTATTCACATTTATGTCAAATGTTTAATAGGATAATTCACTCAAAAATGAAAATTCTGTCATCATTTACTCATCCAACACTTGTTCCTGTCTGAGTTTCTTCCTTCTTTTGAATAAATAAAACAGACTTCCATCGTATTTTGGTTTATTAAATTAGATTCACACAGACCGAATTTTCTTTCAGAAATCATTGAAATATGTTATGAATGCTATCATCGCAATATTATCGCATTTATTAAAAAAAAACTAAATTGTAACAGTTTTTACTGTAGATTGTAATTGGTCGAATGCATTATAGTATGATTAAAATACTTATTTGTGTCACAAAGCATTGATTATAATTTTTTATTTAATTTGTAATTAAATTGACTGATTTTGTATGTTAACAGAATATCAGTTAACAACAATAATCCAAATCTAATAATAATTAAACAATAAACAAAAAATCTAATATTATTTAATTAAATAAATAACCACATTATTGAAAATTTTGACCAAACAAAGGTGCTTCAGTGGTTGGCACTGTCGCCTCACAACAAGAAGATCGCTGGTTCGAGTCCTGGCCAGTTGGCGTGTCTGTGTAGAGTTTGCATGTTCTCCCACCTTCACTGGGTTTCCTCCAGGTGCTCCAGTTTCCTCCACAGTCCAAAGGCATGCACTATAGGTGAATTGGATGAACTGATTTGGCCTTATTGTATTAGTGTTTGTGTGAATGTGAGAGTGTATGGGAGTTTCCCAGTACTAGGCTGCGATTGGAAGAGCATCCGCTGCAAAACACATATACTGGATTAGTTGGCGGTTCATTCCACTGTGGCGACCTCTGATAAATAAGGGACTAAGCCGAAGAAAAATAAATTAATGTGCTTTATTGTATTTGTTTGGTTAAAATTTGAGATAAGAAAGTTAGAAAGTTGATATTATTGGTAATATATCCATATCCATGCTTTATCTGATAATAATGGAAATAAAAGAAAGCCCTCATTTATTGGTTGGTTTTGAAAAACCTTACTTGACAGAGGATTCATGCACATTTAGTAATATAAATATTAAGGTGAATTGTAATATATCCGTAGTACATTCCCTCTTGATTTTAATTCATTAACTCTCTTCTGTTAATTTTTCAGGGACAATCCTAAGGTGAAAACGCCACTGAAATACAACGCAGCTTACAGACTCCCACAGGAGGTCAGTTCAACCTTTCAGCGTGGTTGTGATTATTTAGAAAATCTGTTTTTAACCACAGCATTTGTCAACAGGATGTGAAATATTTTACCCTGAGTGCTCCTGAAGAGGTTGTGAAACTTTTCAAAGAAACACTTCTGCAAAAAGACAAGACCGAAGATGAGGAGGAAGATGATGAACATTGGTCAGATCTTGGTAAGATGCCAATGTTATTATAGTTTTTCATTTTATTTATTTTATTATAATGCTGTTTTGAAATTGGTATAAATGTCTGAGTAGCTTTAGCTTATTTTATTAATGGTTTTGTTAGGTTAGTTTTAGTTTTGTGAACACGTTTTTGTTTAGCTTTTATAGTTTTAACAGAGTTTTCAGAACATTTTTTTCCAAATTTGTTTACGCCATCTACTGGTATTTCCAAAATTTCCACCCTAAAATGAGTGCTTAATTTAAAAAAAAAAACAATGATTTCCTTTTATTATTTTTCTTCGGCTTAGTCTCTTATTTATCAGGGGTCACCACAGCGGAATGAACCGCTAACTATTCCGGCATATGTTTTATGCTGCGAATGCCCTTCCAGCCACAAACACCCATACACTCTCACATTTAAACACACACTCATACACATACGGCCAATTCAGTTAATTCAATTAATCTATAGCCAGTCCCTTCAGTCCCTGCAAAACTAAGCAAACTTCATATTTTTTTCATGATTTTTACCGGACTTTACACTCATCATGATCATAGGTAGCAGTATATACCTTTTCGCTGGTCTGTAACTCAGCATTAACCAGGAGAAGAAGACACTGCATGGTAAAAATAAGTAAATAAAGTCGCATATACCCATAAATATTACTGCAAAAGACCATGAAAACGTGCTCTATGCACAGCTAGAGTTTTAAAGCCAATGATAAACTACCGGTGAAAGCTAAATGTGAGTATTTTCAATTACACAAGGTTGTTTTTACAGCATTAGTGTTGTAATGTAATTGCAATACAGTCAGTTAAATAGACTTAAGCATTCATTTAGTAAATCTCAAGTGTAAAACGAGATGATAACAGGCAGTGAAGATCTCTGATTTTTAAAGAAATCAGATCTTGAACGTGACAATTTTGTAATGGAAAGACAGTTCACCGGAAGGCTTTGGGCTGCCTGGCTGAAAATTAGTTGTGCACACACAATTTATACAGATATATGGATACAATATTTTTTTAAACATAAAATCACACTCAGTTTAAAGGATACTGTATAAGTTACAGAACCCAATATCAGGGTCTAGGAGTAATAATATATATAAAAAATACTTTTGTCTGTGATATATTTTGTACAGCAAATCAACACAAAATATTGGCGCAAATTTTAAGAAAAGCCCCAGCAAAGTCATTTTATGCTGCAAAATTCAGAAAAAAAGTCCCGCGAAATTCTGGAGGGACTTTATAGCGCATGTTTTTGGAATTTGGGGGAAACCGGAGCACCCGGAGGAAACCCATGCAAACGTGGAAAGAACATGCAAACGCCACACGGAAATGCCAACTAACGCAGCCGGGTGTCCTGACATTTTATCCTACCCATCAGATTATGCTACCAACACTGTATTTGAATGGTTCTGAGCTTGGAGATAGGGATTACAGCTATTACAGCTTCGTATCACACTGCTCCTCATTAAAATTTACACTGGCAGCAAAATCTAATGGGTAGCATATTGCGTCATCAAAATGTGCCACCTACTTTTTGAATGCGAGGTAGGCATATACAATAAAATGCAAAAACTATGAAGGACTCAGCATTATTGCTGGACGGCATTGACTTTCATGATTAAAAAATGTAATAATAATCATATACGTCTAATTCTTCAGCAAAGAAATCGTATTGTTCCATGAGGCAAATTTCATTGGGCTGCATTAATTAATAATATAGATTGGAGAAAAGCTTGGTTGTTGCCTCATAAATACTTTCTTCCTAAATTAAATGAAATAAATCCACTTTAATATTCATTTATTCATTCACTTTCTTGTCGGCTTAGTCCTTTTATTAATCCGGGGTCACCACAGCGGAATGAACCGCCAACTTATCCAGCAAGTTTTTACGCAGCGGATGCCCTTCCAGTCGCAACCCATCTCTGGGAAACATCCACACACACACATTCATACACTACGGACAATTTAGCCTACCCAGTTCACCTGTACCGCATGTCTTTGGACTGTGGGGGAAACCGGAGCACCCGGAGGAAACCCACGCGAAGGCAGGGAGAACATGCAAACTCCACACAGAAACGCCAACTGAGCCGAGGTTCAAACTAGCGACCCAGCGACCTTCCTGCTGTGAGGCGACCGCACTACTTACTGCGCCATTGCCTTGCCTCCACTTTAATATATTGCATAAAAAATATCTGGCTAACTCATTTGTTTTCAAATATGTTGATATTCCGAAATAATGTACATTTTGTGGTAAGGATGATGAAACTTTAATACATTTATTTTGTATGTGTGAATTTGTTCAGAAATTTTGGTTCGACCTGTATTGTTATTTAAACACTCCTACTGCCTTTGCACAATCTTTTAGTTTAAAAGAAATTGTTTGTTATTACTCAGAATCTTCACAGAAATCTAAAGAATTTAGCTTCAACTTTTTTTTTCATCTTGTTTGGAATTTTTTTTATACATAAACAAAAATGCATGGCTTCAATCCTTACCTTTTAACATTTTCTGATTTAAGTTGACTCCCTGCTCAAATCTTTCCGTATGTGTAACAACAAAAAATGTGTCAGATTCTTGGTTCTATATGAAGAACTGTTGTCTATTGACTGTGATTTGAGTTAGATAGCTTTCCTGTTATGCTGTTAATTGATTTATTTTCACACTGTACACTTTCATACAATTTTAATTTACTTACCCCTTTCTTTCTTTTGTTAGTCTTTTTTTCTTTCTGCAGCTAATGTAGCTTATATTTTCCCTCTTTTGTATTTTTCTTATATTGATCTTCTGATTGTGGTTGTAAATTTTCATTCTTAAATAAAAAAAATGAAGAAATAAAAAAAGTATGCGAGCCGAGGTAGGACAATCTGACAAGGTAGGACAAATTGACAGAACACCAGGACTCGAACCGGCAACCTTCCTGTTGTAAATCCTAATCACTGAGCCACTGTTCCACCAAAATATGATTTAATTTTCCTTTTGCTAATAAATTTGATGATTTACTATTTTACTTTAGTTAGTTTTTTTATTTAGTAACTGTTGTTGTTTTTTTTAGGAGATAAAATGACAATTACCTTTAGTTTTTGTTTTCTAAAATAACCTTACTATACAACTTTTTAACTAGTATTAGTCCATTGGTTATTATCAACTTGTCCTTCTTAACTTCATCCAGATATCCTCGATGACGAAGTGTCTGAGTCTGTGTACAGAGATCGTGATCTTATGCTGGATCTGGAGCCTGTAACTGAACTCACGGCAGACACCTTTCAAACTGCAATCAAGCAAAATGAGATCACAGTGGTGCTGTTTTATTTTAAATGTGAGTTTAACTTTTTTCTCCCACTTGTTTTTGCCATCTGTGTGTACTCTACCCTGATATGTCCACTGTTGTCCTCTAGGGGATGCTGTCTGTATGGCTTTCATTCAGTCGTATGTGGAGGTGGCAGAAGCAGTCGAAGGTAAAAGCACTTCTCTGAACAATATTGCAGAATGTTGAAGTGCTGTAAATCAAATTAAGTTGTTTTGTTTCTTTTTTTTTTTAAATATTCATTTGATGGCATCTGTGTTCTGACAGTATAACAGAAAAAAATCAAGACTGATGTGCACAGAATAAATCGTTTTGCTTTTACAGCGTCCTCAAAATGTATTTGGAAATTTGAGTCATTGCATTAGATAATAAAATCAAACCAAGTGGAGTCAAATGATGTGTTTTTTCTCAGAACTAACATCGCTTTTCTGAGCATTTATTATTTCTGACTGGGTGTGGAGGGTTTTAGTTGATGTATGCAATAATTGACTGTCTCCTTTATTTCCTCATCTGCCTTTAATTAGATTGAATGCCTTTTTTAACGTAGCTTATTCACATTTATGTCATTTCTTATTTTTAAAAGGATAGCTCACCCCCCCAAAAAAGGGAAATTCTGTCATTTATTCATCCTCAACTTGTTCCAAACCCCTTTTTCTGTTAAACATTTAATGTTGGAAAAGAACTATGATTGACTTGCATTGTATTTTTTACATTCCTACTGTGGATGTCAATGGATTCCCCCCCCCAACATTTTTCTGAATATATTTTTGTTGTATTCAACAGAAGAAATAAATGTTTAGAACTACTTGAGCATGAGTAAAGGCAGGGTGTCTGCAGGGTCTTCAAAAGTCTTAACATATCTTAAATATCAAAACCTACATTTTAGGCCTTAATATGTCTTAAATTCACTGAATATTGTGTTTTATGTTTCTAATGTACATGGAAAGCTACCCAACCAGGCTAACATCAATTCATTCACAATTAATTCCTAACACATCCAAACTTTTTATTACTTTTAAAAATAATACACAAATTATTAATCTATACAATTTTAAATAAAAGGTTATTACTCTATTTACCAATATGGTTTAATAACCTTCCTTAAAATAACATTTGTTTAAAATTTGTCAGTGTATTATTAGCTACCTGAACTGACTGTGGTGCATAAGTTTAGTTTATTATAGTCTTTTTTTCACTTGGCAATATTTTCATTGTTTATTTTTGTTTTTAAAGCTTGTCTTTTTTTTTTTTTTTAAGTTATGCTGAAAAAAAGTGTGTGTGTGTGTGTGTATATATATATAGACCTCTGTTTGTGGATAATGTAAACAGTTAAATGATGACATGGCTACGTAATGAATTTTTGTTTGTATATGCTGACTGTGTTTTTTCTGTTTACCTAATGTCTCTCCTGAAGTTAATGTAACATTATGGAGAGACGTAAATTTTAAAAAGTTTATCTGAGCATGCCTTTTTTCAGTAACTGCAAATATACATTTTGATATTTATTTTCTGTTAATTAATTGAGATTTTTTTTCATATCTAAAAATACCAAATCACAACACTTCTTGCAATTATTAAATGGTAGGAATGCAACAAATGTTAAATGAGTTTCACACATCAACAAAAAAAAGAAAAAATACTTAACTTTATCTTAATATTTAAGGATTAATTCATTCAAAATTAAAATTCTCTTATTATTTATTCCCACTCCAACCCATGAGACCTTCATTTTCATCCAAACACAAATTAGGATATTTTAGATGAAATCTACGCTCTCTCTCTCTCTCATCCTCCATAGATGGAAATGGTTCATAGACGTTCAAAGTCCAAAAAAGGAACCAACAATATTATGTGACTTCAGTGGTTTAATTGTAATCATACAAACTCCAAGAATAGTTTTCTGCTCTAATAAAGCTGTAAAAATAACTTTGTTCACCAATATCTTTCGTATCAGGTAAGGGTGAACGTTTACTATGGGCAATACATTTTACGTGTTGTGCTGCAGACGCTAATGGCAATACATTGTACTGCCTGTAGTAATACGATTAAAAAAAAAGATATTGGCAAGCGGAGTCAAATTTAGCAAAAGACATTGTTCTTGGGGCTTCATATGATTACAGTTGAACCACTGAAGTCACATTGAATGCTTTAACAATGTTTTTAGTTCCTTTTCCTTTAAATGTCTCCTGACCAATACTGTCTATAGAGGAGGAGAGAGCTCCAGGATTTCATCTAAAATATCTAAAATTCTTTTCCGAAGATGAACGAAGGTCTCCGGAGATTAAAATGACATCAGGGTGAGTAATTAATCACAGAATTGGAATATTTGGGTTAGGGTTGTAACAATATACCGGTATGACGGTCAACCACGATTTGAACGTGCACGATTATCATACCATGAACAATTGCATATCAACGGTTTTAACCCTTAAAGACCGAGACAGCCGCCTGCGGCTAAAAATAAGTATTGCTCTTGAATGTTTAATAACTTTTGATCCGCTGATCCGATTCATACAATTCAAAGATTGGCATAAAGAAGAGAATCTCAGCTTTCCAGTGCTGTATCATAACATTCGCTGGGGCATTGCTATTTTGAGAAACTATAATAGATTTTTCATTAGACCAAAACTAACCCGGTCTAAACTCCGGCATAACATTCGCGGACTTTCAGAGGCTCCGGAATCAGTGCGATGACGTCATCAAAATTTGACAACGCTGATTTGACAAAGAAACGCTCGTCACTGTGTCTCCGGACAAACCAGACATGATACATTGATGCATTGTCCCTCCTCCATGCCCAGATTGGTTCAAACTCGCTGTATCACAACCAATAAGCATAGGTTTCACTTTTGTTTGTGGACCAACAATGAGCTTTTTGAACAACACGGAATGAGAGATAGGCATACATTTATGTGCGGCTAAATAAAACGCAAAAAAAAAAAAAAGTTTTGCATGAAATAATTCTCATACTAAGTACTTTTGCATGCACAGCAGCACAGAAACATGACAAAACAGTGACACAGCAAAGACGAACTGCTGCTCTTGCTGTTTTCAAAAGACCCAAATGAAGGTGCAGCTGTTTGTCTGCATTGCAGACAACCATATCCAAATCCATATCCACAGACAACCATATCCATGCTGGCACATAAAACCTAAGGATGTTCCATATTGAATCTAGTTTCTTTATGTAACTATTTATAGTATAGTAAATATTTATATCTATTTTTTACTGAGGATTTGCACCATGTTTATTTGGACTTTGACACATTATTTATTATTTTCTTATTTTTTTATTTGTTCATTATACAAGTGGACACATTCTCTCACCTCAGCGGTCAAGATTAAGTCCTGAAAATCTCAACATGCTTACATTTCTTCATCACAACCTAGACTGAAAAAAACAACGCTTTAAATACATGTTTACAGCCATAAACTTGGTATTGCACTTTTGGTCTCCCATTTATCCTGCTTATAAGGAAGGACAGTTTAAGTTTATTTTTGTCTAATCTTAAAAGACCTTGCTTGTTTATTCCTTCTAATTTAATTAATTAAAATGGGAAATTTTTCAGTTTATTTTTATAAAAGACTTCTATAGTTCTATTAAAATGGTTCTTTCAAAAGTTTGTTGAAATAAAACCTTTGTTCAGTCAGAAAACGTGTTCTTATTCTTTTCAGGGTCTTTGCTATGAGAATTACTATTTAATACCATATACCGCGAAACCGTCAAACCGTGGTATTGTTTTAGACGATTATCATACCGTAAAAAATTCATACCATTACAACCCTAATTTGGGTAAACTAATCCTTTCAGAATCCTTTTCAGTATCGATTCAAATTGTTATCTATATTGTGGCACAAAATAAGTCACAGAAACAAACTCTTTCTTTATCAATTTCAGATGTGAATGGTGTGGAGCTGGCGGCTGTAGACTGTGGGGAATGGACTGATATTTGCAGAGATCAAAACATCACTTCTTTCCCCACCGTATTGATCTACTGTCCAAAGGCTGCTGCTGCTCAGCCCTACAGGGGCATGATGGGAACCAAAAGCCTTCAACGGTTCATACTACTGTGAGTATCATGTCCTTATTCCCACACAAGGTCAGATCCTCCGCATGTGGTGATTTATTCAGCGTCACTCAGCATTAACCTGAAACCGAGCTCTCTTTGGGTTAAATTAGAGGCTCGATGATTGAAGAGCGTACAGTATGTGCGGTTTGTGCCTACACACTGGCCTGTTATATGTTTCTTATATGGCTGTGGGCTGATAATGGCTAATGAGGTGTCTTATCTGTAGAGTGCCATCAATTTATGGCTAAGTCAATTAATAGATGTCCGCAAGGCAGCAGTGCAGTGGATTTCCACCTTCAAAGCCAATCTCTTCTCTGAATACTGTTCAAAGGGATAGTTGAAGTCAAGTTTAGCATTATTGCCATTCTGCTACATGTGTGAACATAAAGAATCAGAATGAGCTTTATTCGGGAAGTGTACACAAATACACAAGGGAATTTTTTTTTTAATGTTTTTTTTTCCCCATCAGTTCAGGCTAAATACATTTACAGAAAATAAAGTAAACAATAACAATTCTGAAGTACTGTATATGAGACATTCTACCAGAAACGTACATTTTCATTTATAAAAAATGTGAAAGGACCTGACATTTAGTTTGTCGTCCTCAAAAAAGCATACAAAAACAAGCATGAACTCATACAATTCAATGATAGAACACATCCTTGATCACTGTCAGCTTCTTCTTCGTCAAATGATGTCTCTGCCGACTCATAGCCTTAAAGGTGTATTGCACATATTTTATGCTAAATTTAATGCAAATGTGACAGGACTGACATTAACCTGGGGACAACTGTAAATTTATTTGTATTATATATTTGCAGCATTTATTTGTAGAATTTGTTTAGAATTTCATGTTGTTAATCGATTGATGTGTATGAAAGCAACTTAAATTTGCTATTTCTGAAGTATTTCTTCCTAAATAACAGCTGAGGACAGTGTCAATGACAGAGTTTGTACATTAGTAAAGAGTTTTTAATAACGAAACAACATCCACAATGACATATCCCTTTACAGAACAACTCACAGAAATCAATCATCAGTCTATTTTAGACATTTTTGGGATGAAATACTTTTTATTCACTGCATTTATGTTTTATTTCAGGGAAAGATGATGTAGCTTTTTGGTAGAATGTCTCAAATATGGCTTGCATGGTCTGTGGCTTAAGTGTTTGAACTCTAAGCAGTGAAAATTAAACCACACTTAACTGAATTAAACTGAACATTGAAAACTGAACTGACCCGGTTTCAATTTACTATGATCTTTTATGGGAAGCTGCTTTGACACAATCTACATTGTAAAAGCGCTATAGACATAAAGATGAATGGGAAATATATATATATAAGTGAAACAAATTAAATAAACATGTGCAAAACACTGGACATAAGAGCTATTTTAAATTTATATATACTTTTTTATCTGGTAATCTAACTGTGCTAACTACTAATTATACATATACTAAAGAAACGTAACCCAAGGAGGACTATGCAAGTCCTTTTACACAAGACAGAACAAAATTGTTAAAGATATTGTGCAAAAGAGGTATTTAAAGTCTCGTTAAATTAAAATAAAACATTTTAGATGCTAGTTTCAGTCTGTTCGTTTTAAAGGGGAAGTTTTTGACTCTTCTAAAGCATAAAAATACTATAAAATGTTTGCAGATATTAAAGAGACATGGTAAGTGAACATTGTTGTTTATCTGAAAAACAATGCTGAAGTTAGATATTCTGCTTTGAAAATGTGTTTACCGTGCCGGAACTCTTTTTGTAATTTTAACCTGTCAATCTGGCAATCTGTGTTTGTATTTGTTTTAATCCAGGAATGCAATACCGAGTTCAACCACTGGGTGTTAAACTTCCATACTTCACATTTAAAGATATCTATTAGCTAGTGTGTTCCCAAAAATTCTAGTTTGGAATATAAAAAACTGATGTAAATATCCAAAGTTTGCAATTTATCACTTCCGCCTAAATTAATCAATGATTTTTTTTTTCGCATTACCTTACTCTTCAGATTTTTTTTTAATCAAATCTTGACCAATCAAATGCTCCCTGGTATCTGACAAACCCCTCCCCCTTCAAGACACATTTCAGTTGCTTTTCATTTGATCCACTTGAGCACTTTTTTGATCCATTTGAACACTCACTGGCAGAGCTAAAAACGAAATTCTATTGGTTGTTTTTTTTAAAAGGGAAGGAGCTGCTCTAAGTATGTCCCACCCTCTCTTAATTTCCAGTTGCGATTATGTCAAGCTTGAAGTAAAAAAATGCACATTTCAAAGCACTTCACTGGACCTTTATATTTAAAAAAAAGCAAGTTTACTAACATTTTATTCACTGTCATGTGGTCAGAAACCTTTATAAGTTGTTGTTGTTTTTTCTGTTGAACACAAAAGAAGATGTTCTGAGAAAAGCTGAAAATCAAATACTATTGAAGTCAATGGTTACAGGTTTTCAGCTTTCTTCAAAATATCATCTTTTGTGTTCAACAGAGGAAAGTCGAACCGGTTTAGAACATGTAAAGGGTGAGTAAATGATGATCGAATCATCAGTTTAAGAGTAACTTTTGTTTTTGCAGGAGTCTGGTCTCCACTCCTGTCCATCTCTCCTCGTCCGCTGAGGTGATGTCGTTTCTGGAGGGAGATTTATACAGAAAATATGTATATCTGACCCCTGTCCGGGTGCTGGGGCTTTTCAGCTCAATGCAGGACATGGGTAAGCTCTCTTTTCCCAGGAATCACTGCTGTGTGGTAGATGGAGATGCACTTTCCTGAATAAACTGTGAACCCGTATTTGTTTTTGGTTTAAAATAGAGATCATGATTTTCCCATGATTCTAGATTATTTTTGCATTATGATGAATTCCATCAAATTTGACTTTAAAAGTTTAGGTCAAGCTCTAATATTCAATGCAAGAAACAAGTGTTGCTTAATGAGTAATTGTATGCTAAATAAAAGTTTGTATTTGCATTATTTATTTATTTATTTATTTATACAACTAGAATCAGAATTATTAAACGCCCTGAATTATTATCCCCCTGTTTATTTTTTCCCCAATTTCTGTTTAACGTAGAGAGGATTTTTTCAGCACATTTCTAAACGTAATAGCTTTAATAACTCATTTCTAATAACTGATTTATTTTATCTTTGTCATGATGACAGTAAAAAATATTTGACTAGATATTTTTCAAGACACTTCTATACAGCTTAAAGTGACATTTAAAGGCTTAAAATTCAAAACTGATTTTATTCTTGCCGAAATAAAACAAGACTTTCTCATATATATCAGACATACTGTCAACATTTGCCTGCTTTGTTAAACATCATTTGGGAAATGTTTAAAAATGAAAAAGATCAAAGGGGGATGAATAATTCTAATTTCAACTGTATTCAATGAAATGATATTAAAATATTTTGTAAATAAATAAATATTTTATGTGCATATTATTCATATATTTATCTGTATATATACAAATATGTGTTTATACAGTGCTCAGCATACATGAATACACCCCTCACAAATCTCTCTTTAAAATACATATTTTATTAGAAAGCTATACAGTATTATATCTGTGCAAATAGATTTGATTAGTCAGTACTTAAGCCAAATCTGGAGCTCATCTAACAAAATAACTTACGATAACGGTACAAAAAAAACTTGTACAGCCAAATTTATATATTATAGAAAAATATTAAATACAAATTTAAAAAGGTGGAAAATCAAGAGAATAAAAAAATGAAGAATTTAGTTTTTGCAATTTTTGGCTTGAATTTAAATGAAATATCTTTCAATTTCTAAATATGTTTGGTGACTAAAATATTATTTTTTAGAAATGTGTCTGTTTAATAAGTCTGTTTTGTTTAAATGCACCAAAATACATTGCCTATATTCACAGAGAAATTGCTAATTTTCTAATTGGGGTGCACTCAATTATGCAGAGCACTGTATATAAAGATTGCCATCTGCAAATTTCTTGTAAAATAGCATTTTGCACAGGCTCCTATGTCTTAATTCAGTAATTTCACTCCAATAGCAAAAAAAATTGTTACTTTTATAGCTTGTAAAATAAAATAACTGATCATAAACATTAAAGGCTGAGAAAAATGCTCATTGTAGAAGAAAATTCCAGATGGCACTTAAATGTTTTTGCATATGAACTCTTCATGTACATAATAAAAAATGAGCACAAAGCTGTTATGTAAAAAAATGTATGTGATTTATTTATGATCAATCATTAAACTGGACTACAAAAAAAGTAAATTATTTTTTAAAAGGTAAATATCTTTAGTGCATTATTATTTTAATAAACAGAATACTGTATTTTCACATTCTGTCAAAATATTCAGCGTTTCAACTGTAATCATACAAAGCTCCAAGGAGACTTGTGTGCTCTAGAAAACTGTAAATATGACTCTAGATGATATTTGCCAAAAGGCTCATTACATATGAATACAGTAAACAATTACTTAAGAAATAATATTGCTCTATATCACCTAAATTTCACTATCCCTTTTTAAGGTTTGTAGTTCATTCTGAGTAGCCAGGTTGACTTGCTACTGATGGCTTTTTTGTTTTTTTACAATACTTCAAACAATATGCATATAAAGTACACAATTTTTTAAAAAAGGGTTTTGATTGTGTTCCTAAAAAAATATAAAAAATAAAAAATAAAAATTAGTGCAATGTGGTTTGACAGCTAACGAGTGTATTTCACGGGTGTCAAATTATTGCAAAATTGATTCCATGTACAAAAGAATCTCTCAGTCATGTGCTTTGTATGTCTTCAGGCGTATCTTCATTTGAAGAAGCGGCAAGACTCCTCAGAGGAGAGACCATTATTGGGCTGTTTGCCCATAAAGAGGCGGCAAAATGGTATCTGGATGTTTCACCACAACTATTCTAATGACGTAATATGCTTAAGATTATAACTTGCATTCAGAGGGGTTGTAAGGAACAAGATGTTACATGTGTGGAGGTTTCAGTGTGGCGTAAGACAGTGTTTTGTGTTTGATCAGGGTGGAGGGACTGTCAGTGAATCTGCCTGCTTTACTGGTGTCCCACGGTCCTGCACTTCCTCATCAGGTCTTTTCCCTCCCATCATCCTTGGCAACGGACCATGTCAAACTCATTCAACGAGTGGAGCTGGAGCGTTTTGTAAGTTATTTTGGTTGCAAATTCACCCCAGACTTCAAATATCGTGCTCCACAGTTGCACAATGAGACTTTATATTGGAATCACATGTGTTTTACTGGAAGTGTTCCTGCTGAAACATGAACCATCGCCCCATTCTGAGATCAACAGCACTCTGAAGCAGGTTTTCAATCAGGATGTCTTTGTACATTGCTGCATTCATCTTTCTCTCATCCTGACTAGTCTTCCAGTACCTGCTACTGAAAAACATCCCCACAGCATGATGCTGCCACCACCATGCTTCACTGTAGGGATAGTATTAGCCTAGTGGTGTGCGGTGCCTGCTTTTCTCCAAACGTAACGCCTGGCATTTACTTCAAAGTGTTCAATTTTAGTCTCATTAGAGCAGAGAATTTTATTTCTTATTGTCTGAGAGTCCTTCAGATGCCTTCTGGCAAATTCTAGACGGGGAGTGGCTTCTGTCTGGCCACTCCACCCTACAGGCCTGATTGGTGGATTGCTGCACAGATGGTTGTCCTCTCTGTACGGTTCTTCTCTCTCCACAGAAGAACACTGGAGTTCGGACAGAGTGACCATCAGGTTATTGATCACCTCCCTGACTAAGACCCTTCTCCCTTGATAACTCAGCTTAGATGGCCGACCAGCTCTAGGAGGAGTCCTGGTGGTTCCAAACATCTTCCACTTAAGGATGATGGAGGCCACTGTGCTCATTTGAACTTTCAGAGCAGCAGAAAAATTTTCTGTATACTTCCCCAGCCTTGTGCCTCGAGACAATGCTGTCTAGGAGGTCTACAGACAATTCCTTTGTCTTCATGCTTGGTTTGTGTTTTGACATGTACTGTCAACCCTGGGACCTTATATAGACAGGTGTATGCCTTTTCAATTCATGTCCAATCAACTGAATTGACCACAGGTGAACTCCATTTAAGCTGCTGAAACATCTCAAGAAGGATCAGTGGAAACAGAATCCACCTGAGCTCAATTTAGAGCTTCACGGCAAAAGCTATGAATACGTATGCACATTTGATTTTTCATGAATTGAGTAGGCTAAATTGTCCGTAGTGTATGACTGTGTGTGTGAATGAGTGTGTGTTGATGTTTCCCAGAGATGGGTTGCGGCTGGAAGGGCATCTGCTGCGTAAAAACGTGCTTGATATGTTGGCGGTCATACCACTATGGTGACCCCGGATTAATAAAGGGACTAAGGCGACAAGAAAATGAAAGCCATTTTGGAATAAGGCTGTTAACATAAAAAATAAATAAATAAATAAATATATATAACAGTAACATTTGGGCAGTCCATCAGGGTTGTCCTCCAAAGGCATATTTTTAATCTGGTGTAGAATATCTTCCTCTGAAGATAACACTCCCAGGCATTCGGTTGTAATAGTTGCCATGACTATTAATATGATTAAAATCATAAAAGTGTCATCTGGACCATTTCTTCCCTTATTGTCAGCAGAAAACTGACCCACTTCAGTGTGTCGTCCTTGACCTCTTCGAACTCTGTCAAAAGTGTCTCTTTTGTTTTTTCTCATTGCTTATAGCTGTTTTTGCAAGCATAAAAATATCTGAACATGTAAGTAAAGTTTTGTGTTAATTACAATTAATGTCATTAAGCCATCCAGACGTCACAAAATATAGCGTTTTTTTTTTTTTTGCAATCGGGAGATCACAATAATTAACCCTGAAAAGCCAAAGCAGCACAAGCACTACCAGATTACAGTTGTGTTTGTAATAAGTAAAACGCTAAACACATGCAAGCATTTCCTCTTTCTTTCTTTTTAATGAACTAGTCTGCAGTAACTGGGGTTATACAGAGAGTGGCCAACACAAAATACATGCATTCCTGATATGTGAGTCCCATCTCACACTCAATACACTACAATAACTATGGTATAATTTCAAAACATACGAAAGAGGGAGATTAAATTAGAATGTCACTTACCTGTTTAATAATGATTTGATCAGCTGTAGTTAGAAATGACGGCTCTGCTCAATGACAGGCTGATGGATACTGATGCGCTATATTTCCAAATTAGGCACTATGCTTATAAATAAACTGCGTAGTTGCCATCTAAACAACTACATACTAGTCTAAAGAAGCCTCAAAAGTACATTATGTTGTCCAACAGCTGCAATATTTTATTTATTTATTTTTAATGTAATTATATATATAATTATTTTATTATTATTATTATAGTGTTGTAGATTAGTAAACAAAACAAATAATCCCTTTTAAAATTTTGATTAAAAAAGTAGATAACTTTTAATTGCCAAACATTAACTAAATTGCAATGTTAATAATATAAATAAAAATAAATTAAAGGCAGCAAAATGATTATAGAAAAAAAGTAAAAAAATATACCAAGATGTAAAATTTTAATTTAAACTAATCCAATATAAATTTAAAAGCTAATTCAAATGTGTATATTATATATGATAATTGTACTTAAAATTAAATAGACACTAGTTATATAGCAATATAAACAAGCCTTCTTTGATCTATATCTTACTAGAAGCATGCAAGGATGAATTGTGAATCTTGCATGAACCTTCCACACAGTATGCATTTGAAGTCTCTTTGTTTCACTGGAAAAATACTAATAACAAGCTAAAAAATATGTTATGTGTTCCCATAATAGCCTGAACTGACAGTGGAGAATCTTCCCTGGTATTTGGAGCTTGAGAAACCTTTGCTGCTGCTTTTTATCGGAAAAGAGGAGAGTACAGAGAGCACGAGGTCTTTAGCAGAGATAAACCAACTGCTGGGTTCTGGACAGCTGGATTTCTTCTTACCCTGTTGGATCCATCTGTGAGAAGCATGATCTGTTTAACACATTTATCAAAGCCATGCTTATTTTTAGTAAACCCTTTGTTAATTCTCTGCTGTGGGCTTTAATTGTTTTAGTGGTCGTACACCTGTTGGGAGGTCCATCCTGGAGAAGTATCTGGGCTTTGTTCCTCCACTTCCATCTTTGGTGATTTCGCAGATAAAAACTGGAGGAGAGGTGTTTCTTTTCCCCTCTGAGCGCCCCCTAAAGGCTGAAAATATCCTGCGGTGGATTCATGATGTGGAAGACAGACATGAACAACCAGCAGGTGAGTCTTGTAGCTTTATTATAGACATTTACAATAAAAAAACAAAGTAAAAAAGACCAAATGAAATTATGTAAGGTACAATACTGTGCAAAAGTCCTAAACACTATAACAGCTTTGTTGGCCTCAGAATTTGTTACAATACATAATCAGTTTCTTTATTAAAAACAAACAGAAAATATAATTTATAAATATATATGTATATATATAGTGTAAATTCCAGTACAAAAACCTTGTAATAAACTGCATAAGCATTTTCTGTTACTTATTTTTCGTACGTTATATTATTTCAAACTACTTCAATGTCAATAAAAGTACCTTTGTTAAACTGTAGAGATGAATTTTCAACATCAAAAGTCGACAGAGCAGACATCAAAGTCCCATAATGCAATTCACAGCTGTAAATAAACAGAATACGCATGTAAATCACAAAATATGGAAATTGTTAATGAACAAATATTTTTTACAGTGTAACACTTTCTTCATACCTCCTTATTTCTGCTGTTCACAATACTTTATATTTGATTTCGACAAAAGTGTGTCCTTGTATTCATTGGCAATGCCTCTTACATGGTTTAAGTTTCATTAATCAATCATCACATGCCCCTGAAAATGCTGGCACAGAGTTCTCCGACATGCACCAGTATTCACGAGATCACACCCTGTCCATTCACAACCTCATCAACACTTTTTCCCCTAATACAATCCCTATTGTTGCCTGTGGTGGAAACAAACCCAATCACTCAGATCTAGCACTCAGCTCCAATGATGTCCTTCCAAAACGCGCTCTCATTCAGACGTCCCCAAAGACACAGCGCTCCATTCTGACGATAGATGGTCTCTTTCTCAAAACCTGCTCTGGCTTTATACCCATTTCTCAGCATCTCCCATCTGCTTCCTATGAATCTGAGAGGAAACCGTTGGCCCTAATTGTGTCTGATTGTTGTTATTATTATAAAGTTATTTCCCTGAAACCTTCTGCTGGACTCTTGGGGGGCCTGGGGACATTTTTTGGCAGCTTTTTGCATTTCCAGATTTAAAAAAAAATGGCTTCATCAGTCTGTCGGTTATAAAATGTGTGTTTTGTGAGGACTGATGAAGCACTTTATTCATCAGAAGATACTTCTAAAATTTCATATGCCAGTGAGATGCGGAGGAAATACAATTGTCTGCACATCATCCTTGAAGCATTAGTCTAATTGTGATTAAATGTCCTGTTGCTATTGGAACCAATATATGTGCTGTTTTTTGACTCTTGGTAGTGGAAAAGACACATTATAGTTGTATGGTCCCATAGGTTTGATTACAATGTCTGTGTAACAGTGACTAGATGTGTGACTGTGTGATATAGTCCATTTTTTTCCATTGCTCATTCCTGGGTTTGTCCTCTTTTCTGTGTGACCAGAGAAAGGTTTCGGTCTACACACACACACACACGCTTTTTATTTGGCATTTTGATTGAGTTGGTGTACTAGTTATGGTGTACAATTATATCATCATTGTTTTAAGAATTAAAATTCAAATCATGATAGCAAAAATACCCCTCTTTAGTATTTGTTTTTTTACATTTGTAAGTTAGGCTGGGCAGTATGATTGTATATACCGGTACTGCAGAATAAATTGTTTACTGTTATAGATTTTATTTTTGTGTGTACAGTGACATGTAAATTAGTGGGTGTGGCTACCTCCTGGGCAGTGCGTTACCCTGAGCAAGATTCTGCTCATGACACTTAAGGAAGTGCTGACTGGAGCACTCATAACAAGATCCGGTCAGCAATCTGACGTAATCTTTATAAAAGCTGCGGATCTCAGTACAGAATAACTCTGTGTACAATTTCCCCTAGTAAGATAAATCACTAGTGTAGCTCTAAAGTCTCTGCTGACTAACAGCCTCCCCCAGGTCCAAATATGCTCTGTGCCCTGGCACACGGTCTAACAGGGTTGTGCTTATTCTCTTTATGAGTTATGGGTGTGTTTTCAGTGTAACATGAATTAAACCAGGGGTCACGAATCACGGTCTTGGAGGGCCGGTGTCCCTGCAGGGTTTAGCTCCAACTTGTCTTAACACACCTGCCTGGTTGTTTCAGGTATACCTAGTAAGACCTTGTTTAGCTTGTTCAGGTGTGTTTGATTAGGGTTGGAGCTAAAATCTGCCGGACACTGGCCCTCCAGGAATAAGTTTGGTGACCACTGCGTTAAACCAATCAGAGTCTCATCTCACATTCCCTTTAAGAGTCAGTTGTGTCGCGCTCTGGCGCATTTGCTATTTATATGTCAGACTTTTTAAATGAAAAAAGCTGAACGCTACACTAACAAGAAAACTGTTTAACAGTCCATCTGCAGCATGAGGATAAAGAATGAGCCTCCTCCATTCGGCCTCCTTACTTTCTCTTTATTTTTACTCTTTACTTTACTTCTTTACTTGCATGGATAAGGTGTTGTACGCACTCCTGTGAGGACATTTATTAGCCTATATATTTTTTGAATTTGTTAAGTGCAAAGATTTGTTTCAAAACTATTTCTAAATCCAGTTCTAATTTCCAGCAAATGAATAAATCAACAATAATAACAAAGTGTGGTCAAAAAACTGAGTTATATCCAAACATACATTCTATTCCTATGTCCATATGGTGATGCAGACGTCTCCAAAACCTGACAGGTGGACAAATCTAAACTTCTTTTTATTAAAACAAAAATATAAATAATACAGCTTATTATAACATTACATAAACGCAAATTTCAAGAAAAACAGAAAAAGCCCCCCGAGATGAAGAAGGCAAGGAGGCAGTGGATTTTATATTCATGTAGAAAATAATAATTTTTGTAACATTTTAATCCTTTAATGTGTTTAATATGAAAAGGTATTTGTGTATTGCTGTAAATCCTGTGAGTATTAAGCAATGTGTAAACGTTTGGACCTGCATAGGTGTATAACTAATGCGCTCTTTGCTGAACTTTTAGTTGGTCAATGGCGCGGCCTTTTTTAGTTCTTTAAAAATGCAACACACCAACAATGCGCCTTAACACAACTCCTTTTTAGACCGGAACACCCATGGGTGCAAATGGATTTGCTATTTGGCGCAAAACGTGAAAATTACAGTTGCGCTGGTCTGAAAAAAGCAAAAAATCGCGCCAAACTCGTCTTCTGCCTTAAACTAATAAAATGGAGAGGAAAACAAGATTGACCTTAATGGATGATTTGTTCCTAGATAGATCAATCACAAGTCTGATTTTAATTTATTGTGAGAAGCCATCATTAGTGGGGAATAAAAATCATAAACCTAAAAATGAACACTTCTCAAAAATGCACCAGCAGAAAAGATATCAGCGTTAGCACAGCCAGAGTTAAAAAAAAAAAAAAAAAAAGTAAAATATCAAATATTGTGCATCCCTACTAAATATAACAAAGTTCAAAATAAAAGTCCTTTTCATTTCTGGTTCAAAAAGTGAGAAAATATCCAGTGAGTGGCAGTTATGTGAGCACAAATGTCTTGTTATGGCCAGACTAGTTCCAGCTGATAGAAAGGGAACAGTAACTCAAATAACCTCTCATTACAACCGAGGTATGCAGAAGAGCATCTCTGAATGTACAACAAGTACAACTTTGAAGCGGATTGGCTACAGCAGCAGAAGACCACACCGGGTGCCACTCCTGACAGCTAAGAACAGGAAACTGAGGCTACAATTCACACAGGCTCACCAAAATTGAACAATAGAAGATTGGAAAAATGTTGTCTAGTCTGATGAGTCTTGATTTCTTCTGCAACATTCAGATGGTAGGGTCAGAATTTGGCATCAACACCATGAAAGCATGGATCCATCCTTCCTTGTATCACCGGTTCAGGCTGGTGAGGTAAAAGTGTGGGGGATATTTTCTTGGCACACTTTGGGCCCGTTTGTACCAATTGAGCATCTTATCAATGCCACAGCCTACCTGAGTATTGTTGCTGATCATGTCCATCCCTTTATAAACACAGTGTATCCATCTTCTGATGTCTGCTTCCAGCAGGATAACTCGCCAAGTCATAAAGCACGAACCATGTCTGATTGGTTTCTTGAACATCACAATGAGTTCACTGTACTCAAATTACCTCCACAGTCACCAGAACTCAATCTAATAGAGCACGTTTGGGATGTGGTGGAATGGGAGATTTACATCATGAATGTGCAGCCAACAAATCTGCAGCAACTGCGTGATGCTATCATGTCAGTATGGAGCAAAATCTCTGAGGAACATTTCCAGTACCTTGTTGAATCTGTCATGAAGAATAAAGACAGCTCTGAAGGCAAATTGGGGTCCAGACCAGTGCTAGTAAGGTGTACCTAATAAAGTGGCCGGTAAATGTTAATCATTGCTATGAAATTGAATTTTCTATTTATATTTATAAGATATGATATCTTTAAAGTAATACAAGTAATGTCACAAAAAAGAGCTATATTTTCCTAAACATCAACTTGATCAAAATTGTAGTTGATTTTATCCAACAAGATGTTAAAATCAAGTTACTTTTTTGCACTATATCATCTGTTGCTATGAAAATATATAAAAAAATAAACTGTCTATATCACTAACCCCTGAATTTCAATGCCTTTTAAATATAGCATTTTAATTTATTGGCCCAGAAAGCAATAACTTCTGTTATTCTGGTCTCTAGCTCTAGTCTCGTTCAATTCAGTGTAAATCTATTTTAAAAATCCTCCGTTTTATAGTCCTCCAGCAGATAATAATAAGTCAGACTTCGTGGAAAAGTAATATAACGCCTCATCTCTTCAAACTGCTTGATTTGAGGTATGGGAAAAAACCTCTAACTGTAAGTACGGGCAATATTAATACTGATGCTCATCTTGGCCATTACCACTAAAATGTGTTTGGAATCAATATATTTCTCATTTACAAAATAATTCAGATGGCCCAGATGTCCGCTTTTCCTGTAATTTGAGCAACCAATGTTGTTTTGGTGGTTGCTATGCATTTTGTGAGCAGGCTGATTAATCCCACCGCA